CACCCCCCTGACCCCCATCTCCCCACAGCCCAGAGCCCAGCTCCCCACCCAGCCCTGGGCAACAGCAGCACCACCCATCCCCATCACCCAGCAACAGCCCATTATGTAATTGCAAATGTATACATACCATTAAAGCATTTAATGTTTTTAAATAATGTATTTAGTGTATTTTCAAATTATTACAAATTAATTTTTGAATGTATTTCATTAGTTATTTTTTACATTTCCAAATACATGTTACTATAGTATTGCAATTTTTTTTAAATGGAAGGGCCCCCAAAATTGCTTTGCCCCAGGCCCCCTGAATCCTCTGGGCGGCCCTGCTTATATAGCACTTTTCATTAAGCTTATAAATGTTCATAAATAGAAATAAGAGTGTCCATACAGGGGGTTGCACTCATTTAATTAAACCAGTGCGTGTTTGTGAATAGATTGGGGTAGGTCAGCCTTGTTATCAAGCATTAACTTTTCATCCACGAGACCCTCATATTTCCCATGGATAATGTGATTAAATTGTTTCCTGTTTTTTCCTTATAATTTTAGGAGCAAGAAACCAACTACTGAATTGGTGTTAATTGCCTTTTAATGATGTGAAAGAAAAAACAGGATTCTCCCCTAAGCAACTACAATATTTTCCTTGAAGGGTCATCTGCTCCATTTATTCAAAAATGCCATACCTGTTGAAGTTAATGTCTGGATAACTAGAATACTCAGACTTCATCTTGGCATTGCGTCGTGGAAACGTGCAGAAAAAAGCATTGGCTAGAAAACTAGCGATCTGCTCTTGTGACATTGTGATGGAGTGATTCATCTTTTGTTTCAGTAAAGGTATTGGCTACCAGAAGGGAATGAAGGAAAAAAAAAAAAAGGAGAGAGAGAAATAATTAGTTTAGCAATTCAAAAAAAAAAAACAGGAGCACAAAATTACATTTGCTAAATTAGAGCAAGAGTAATTTAGGGCCATTGGTTGGTCCTTAAATCAGCAGCACCATTAAAGTCAAGGGTTGTTCAACTAAGATGATTGGGAACAAGCTTGTTTGACAAATAGCAGATTTCTAATCAGTAACAATAAGGCCAACAAAGCACAACTTATCAGAGAAAAAACAGACTCCAGAGGTGGAAACAGACGGAATGTAGAAGTAACCGGGCAATCTTAAAATCAAGAAAGATATATATTATATTTTATTTATTCCAGCAGCTGGATTCTAAAGTTATTCTTGTGGGTAGTTCACTACTGTCTCAGCAACTCTTGTCAGGCCTGACATACTCTCTTTACCCCACACATTGGTGTCATGAGCTGTATCTAAAAGGTGTTATGTAAGATATCTATACAAACTGGTAACATACTTGTCCCAAAATCATTGCATGGTGTATGTAAGAGGTGTATACAAAGGGTAATAAATACGTTCCAGAATTATGTTCTTAAAATGTATTTGGCAAGCAATGCTTAAGCTACAACTGTTCCAAAGAAATACAATTCTGATTGCTTGAATGTCTCCCCGCTGAAAAGTAGGAAAATGTGACCAAAGACAAAGAAAAGCACATTGACGTGCAAGATAAACAAAGCCATCAGGAGAGCAAGTGGAGAGAGAGAACCATTTAACAATCTCAATGGGGGATGAAGACTGCACCCCAGGAAGCCTGCCTATCTCTTGAAGCAGAGTCAATGAACTTTGGAAAGATATAAGCAGAGAGAAAAGGCCATTTTGGCATTCTTCACCTGAAGGGACAAAGGAACTGAGCAGTTTGAGATCTATAAAGGGTCCTGGCCAGAGAGTCTGGTCAGCCATGCTGGAAAAGAAACTTGAGAAACACTTCTTTGAACAAGAAAGTCTAGTTTGTTGAATCAGGTTTTAGTCTTAGAAGTGTATTTTTACTTTTGTTTGTTTGTTTGTAACCTTTCATCCTTATTCCTTATACTTAGCACTATTCAATCCTCTGCCCTTTTTGTTAAATAAATTTGCTCTGCTTTAAAACAATTCAGTGCACTGTTTGAAGGGAAAGGAGTGTTAAACCCACTTAAGCTAACAGGCTGCAGTATACGGTCTCCTTAAAGGAGCAACAAATTTAAGAGACTAAAGAGAGTATTACAGGGAGATGTCTCTGGGGAAGTTTGTTACCTGCAAGGCAAGATTTGGACTGATAGAGTCCTGAAGTTTACTGGGAAGGCTGACAAGCTGGTGTGTCAGGGAGTTGTCACACTTCTTAGCAATAGCAAAACTCTCACCCGCTGAGGCGGTTAACACTAACTCTCAATTCTGGGAACCCCAGCATATTGTCACAATGCTGTCGCACAATTTAAAGAAAATGTATAATTACAGCAATCACCCATTTACAGCTGTAAAATGAGGGGACAAATGTCACCTTAACTATAAAAGATTTAATTACTCGACTATTTATTTTGACTCCCTTGTCCAATTTTGTGTTTTAAATAACTAGAAAAGACTCAAATATAATTTGAATTAAAGAACAAACGCAAGAAGCCTCATTATTATTATATATTTATTTTATTACTGGCTTATCAATTTGAAAGCTTCCTTTCTGTCTCCCCACCCTATAAAATATGTGCAGTACATAAACTAGAATTTCTGTCTCTATGATATGCCTGAAGAGGAAAATGTTGGAGGGAGTGGAGGAGTTGGAAGGAACTTAGTTCACCATTTTCACTCCTGTGAGGAATCACTGTTCAAATCTTATTTGATCACAAGTGGAAATCAATTTGGAGAATCTCATTCTACATGGACATCTGTCCACAGCACAAAAAGCAGTCCATGATATAAAAAGGACCAAACTTGGCAATACATTTACAGGACAAGACTAAAGTAAATTAGCAGAGCTGTGAATAGGCCTGGGATGAGATCAGGAATGACATGCACTGGCAAGAATGAATCGAGAAGGTTGTACAGAGCCTACTTACAGACTATCCACATTTGTAACTTGTGTGAGTAAACCTTCATTGACATCATTTGTTACCACTTATATTCGATCCACCTTAATCTCACAATTCCATGCAACGTCCTCAGGTTGAAGATGCCTCTCTCCAAAGAATTTACAAGTCCACATAATGAATGTTATGAAGACCAGGACACCATAATTAAAGATTTAATACTTTAAGGGAAGTATAATTAGCCAGAATGGCATAGTAACTTTTTTTTATTATTAAAATACCCCTAATGAAGACCAAAACAAAAAAGTTTGGGGGCCAGAAAATGAAAAGAAATACTGAAAATATGAGCCACCAACTTTCAAAGTTATCCATGAAAAACCAGAAAGTCTTAAGTAAAGACTAATAAAGAACAGTGTCTTACAAAGAATATTTCCCCCCCTCCCTACCTATAAGCTCACATCAAGCAAAACTAGCCTTTGGGATTGTCCAGTACAGTGGCAAAGCTGCACCACGGTAGCATGTCAGTGTAAACACTACCTACTCCGACAGGAAGGGTTCTTCTATCACTGTAGGTAATCCACCTCCCTGAGACGCAGTAGCGAGGTTGACAGAAGAATTCTTCTGTTGACATAGTGATGTCTATATGGGGACTTAGATCATCTTAACAACGCCACTCAGGACTGTGGATTTTTCACACCCCAGCCTACGTAGTTAAATCAACCTAATTTTCTAGTGTTCACCGGGTCTTTGAGTCCGCTCACTATTCTGACAAGGCACTTGCTCATTAGTAATGAAACATCTGTGGCCACTGAAGATGGTCCCTCCTTCTTATCTGAACACCAAACATGGCTTTTAAACTCATGGGAGTAATGTTAACAGATGCCCTAAGCATATTCTACAAGTTTTCCCTTCCACAAAATGTTCTACAGTGAACAGGAGAGAGCCCCATGGATGTCAACTAAAGAAGAGACTAAAAAGGGGCTATAGCCCAAAGCAGACTCTCCTTGCTGGCAGCTCCATTTGGGTGTTCTGCCAACAAATTAACAGGGGTCATACACTACAAAGAATCTTCAGTTTTATAATCATCATGAGCTGCATCTATGAGTTCTCTACAAGATCTGGAGAGGGGAGCAGGTTTCTGCCCCTTTATAGAAATAAATTATAGATTTAGGGAATGTCTATACTGCAGTCACAGGGTGTGACTGCAATTTCAGTAGACACATACTATATTAAGGCTAGCTTGGGTCCTGGAGCAATGAAGACATGACAGCACATGTTTCAGCATGAGCTGTATGAGCCCAAGAACCTGAAGTGCACACTGTTGTGGCTTCACTACTTCAGGACCCAAGCTAACTAGATTAAAGTTAGCACAGGTATGTCTACTTGAACTGCCATCACACCCTGTGGCTGCAATACACACACACACTTAATGGAAGCATCTCTGAAAGGGTATCTTCTTTCCCTACTCCCTGCAAGCAACACACCTATAGTGAGAGGGAGATAGCTGGAAGTGTGAGGGGTGGTAAGTGCCGGAAGCTGGTCTTCATCCCAGCTGGCAGCTAGGCGGGACAGCCATTTTACTGGGAGGGCTGTAGGAATTCCAGAAGGCTTGAGTGGGTAAAAGGAGAGAACCAGGGTAAGAATATTGGAGCCACTGCAGAGACTGAAGGACAGAGAGATATATATAACAGCTTCCCTCTCCCTAAATTATTTAGCAATACGGAGCTGCAATAAGTGGGAAGTGGGTGTTTTTAATTTGTTTGGTGTGGGGAGGGTTGAGGGAGGTTGTCTCCTCTTGATAAATAAACCTACTGCAAAATGAGCACCCAGTTTGCACAATGCAATTAGAAGTTTACACAAAGCTCAAAGGTGGACTATAACATTGATATAAAAACTAAGCTTTTAGTTATTACTGTTCATTATTTTATTAAATTCCACACCATTCAGTGAAAAAAATGCTTCCATTAGAACCACACCCATTTTTGCTTTGTGTTTCTTCCTCCTCTATTTTTGTTTTTCTCCCTCCTCCTGTCTTTCCTTTTTTCTTCAATGCACATTTCCCTCCTTGTGTTAATTTCCAGTTCTCATCTCCCACAAGCTTCACTCCCAAACTCTTCCCCATTCAGTCCATGAAAATGATCAGCAATTAAGTAGTTAATGCTGACATTTAAAGCATCATCACTAGGTGTTAGAGTTAACCAATCAATTAAATGAATGGGGGCGAGGGAGTCCACACTTCTCCAAGCTATTGTTTCAAGTTCTGTGCAAAGTGATCCATGTTTTCAATGTCTACTTTCTAACAATGAGAAACCAACTTTCCTCTTCCCCAGTAGAAGTTCAGATTCTGCAGGATGTGAACATGCCATCTCTCTCTCTCTCTCTCTCTCTCACACACACACACACACACACACACACACACACACACACACACACACACACACACACACACACCACCGAATCCATGCCAGGGGCTATGTTTTTGACATTTCTGATTTAGAGTAAATATTCAGCATTAACTAGGAAATACTGTTGCAGAGCTATAAAAATGTCTTGAAAAGTTTTGTTAAAGAGGAGAAACTGTGTATTGCCAGAACAGAATGTGTTAGAATAAAAAGTATCAGAGATTTATCACTTTAGACAACACAAGAGAAAGCAAACCCTCAGATGTATGCAGCATTTTCTCTAATGTATTAGCAGATCAATAATCTCTGCATTAAGTCCTTGGCTATCATTCTTAGTTTCTAAGGAGACCTCCAAAAAGGGGCACAGATTCCCATTCATCTCTAGTAAATTGACCATTTTGTATTTTTACTAATCTATTGGCATGTCTACTATAATATTAGGAAACTAAATTGGCCCTCATCTACCATTTTGGTTTGGTAACTTGACTTCAGGAGATGCAGATTTTGCAAAGCCACATTTTCATATGAGCAAAAGCAATTACATATCTGAAAATCAGGATGAAATTAATGCTCTTAAATTTTAGAAACTGAAATCAAACTAGCAGACCCTGCTATCCTTTAATCATAGTTGACAGCATGAAAAATTTAACTGTGCATTAAAAGAAGTCTGAAAAATTTCCTTAATTGAGTTTTTCCCATAACACCCAAGGGATTTTATTTTAAGAACCACTTTTATATCTGATACAATATTACAAAATAAGTTAAAATTATTTAAGTAATGGGCTAGTAGCTATTGTAATAGTCATTTAAAAAAATAATCAAATGAAAATACATTTCTCCATCCCTTCTTCTAGCTCCTCCCTCCCAATTAAACAATTGTCATCTTTGCTTCTGGTTCTTCACAAATGCAACAAGAACAGCTTCAGTGGAGCTGGGTCATTATATTTTAGCACTAGCTGTGAAGATAAATTTCCTGTGTGAACAGGTGCAATAAGTAAAATTATTGGACATACAACCCTAAGAGACATGAAGTAAATGAAATCTTCATTAAGAATGTTTTGATATATTTTTATAAAATGTGAAGTTATCTAAATTAAGTGATTATAAATTTAATATCTCTTTTGGCCACAGGTTTTTCTTTCTCCATATATTCATCTGTCAATCTATATTAGGGCTTTGTAAGACTGGGTTATGATATCACAGAAGAAAAAAATGGAAGAAAAAGATTGAAAAATCCTGTTTCACAGAATTCAGTTTATCTATCTAAACTATACTGCTGTTGTAGATTAAGTCATTTCGGTGTATAAAACAGATTTCACTACTGCATCTTAAGTCAGCTACATCTAAACTCAAAGAGTGACCTAGAGATAGTATACAACGGTCAATAACTCATCTCTCAAATAGAAACATTTCAAGGCAGTAAAACTCCTTTAAAATATGCATAATTTAATCATCTTGGTGTCCTGTGCATGCTGTACTCACTTTTAAAAGCTTTGTAGCTGTCAGAAAAGTTCTTCCAGCCAAATGACTGGTAAAAAGATCAGAAAATATTTCAATTTTCTGCAATTGTGTCCTCTGTAAACATCCTCTTTAGCATAACTAAGCAGGGCAATGCTTTTCTATTCCAATACAACCCCCTTACTTTTGAAAAAACTATTTAAAAAGTTGAGACAGTCGTGCTTACAAATCAGAGGCTCTATCCTGCAAATGCTTGCTCATCTAAATAGTCTTTACTCACAGTCCTATTGAGTTTGAGGTGACTATTCCCAGCAGTAAGCATTATACCAACTAAGAAGTGCCTGCAGGATTTGGCCCTATTACAATAAAGTAAAACATTCATGATCATTATTGAGAACAGTATATTCACAGATACTGTGGAGGTGTAAATATAATCATGTATTTTTATAAGCAAAGAAGAAAACCTTATCAGAAGCATTATTCACATGATTAAAATAGCTTTAAACGTGGTTTCAAAGCCAAAAGGGTATAAATCCACTAAAATATTTTGAACGGGGGAATTAATTCAAAGTTTAAAAATTGCATGGTCATTTCATTAGAAAGAACAACAAGACATTCCAGTATATATAGAATTTTGATTGATGGCTTAAATTAAAAGGTTCAGAAATGGGACAGTGAGTTTTTAATGTTCTTTTGTACCATTATGGATGTGTATTGTCCTCCCTGTTCCCTAGGCCTCAGCTAAATGTGACAGAACCACCACAGAGTTCAATAAGAAACATAACATGGCTCTGTCATTTTGACCCCAGCGATTAGTTATAGTTTATATGAAATTAATCTGCCCTGGTGGTTTACCTATCTGCGCTTACTTACCTGAGTGCAGATACTAGGAAGACAAAGTGCTAGCTTCACCATATCAGGCAAGATGGACTGGAACAAATGCTGAGACTCTGCATCTTCGAGCACCTACAAAAAGAAAGATTTCTTTTGCACCAAAAATAGGATTGATATTAACAAGATAAAGACTGCACAGGTCCACTTTTCACATTGGAAAATAGTTAACATTAGGCAAATTAATCTTAAAAATTATTTTGTTTAATAATTTCTGCATTCCTATAGCATCTGTCATCCAAAGTTTTCAATTAACTTTACAAACTAATTATCTTTCTCAATAATCTGTAAGGTACAGAGTAGGTAACCATTATCCACCCACTTATATGTATGATGGGAGGAGAGGTTAAGTGACTTGTCCAAGACAAAATAAGAAGTCAATGACAAGGTGAACATAGAATCCAATTAGCCACTAATTGCTCTCTAATTTAATAAAAGACAAGAAAATGGTTATCCAAAGACACTTTATAGAGTTAAATAATAAATTTACTAAGAAATAAGAGCCAAAGGATAGAGAGACCTAAGATGTATAGGCAAGGGAGAAGAGATGTTTCTAGCTGTAATTTAAAATGAAATGAAGAATTGCTGATGGAACATCCTTCCTGTTTCTCTCTCTCCAAGACCTCCCAACTGTCCTGGGTTTAGCTGGACGATCCTGCTTTGATCCCAAAAACCCTCTGTCCTGGTTGAAGTGAACAGTTCCTCCATTCAGGGCTGCCCAGGGGATGGAGTTTGCCCTGGACCCCCCTTTGAGAGGGGCCCCAAACCTAATGGTGGTGGTGTGACCTGGCACACAGGGTCTCACAGCACCACTCACATTTGGTCTGTCTGCTTCTCCATCTCCGCTTCTCCACCAAGGGTACGTCTATACTTACTTCCTGGTCCGGATGTAAGCGATCGATCTTCTGGGATCGATTTATCGCGTTTTGTCTAGACGCGAGAAATCGACCCGGATCGATCCCAGAAGTGCTTGCCGTCGACGCCGGTACACCAGCTGAGCGAGAGGAGTATGCGGCATCGACGGGGGAGCCTGCCTGCCGCGTCTGGACCCGCGGTAAGTTCGGACTAAGGTACTTCGAATTCAGCTACATTATTAACGTAGCTGAATTTGCGTACCTTAGTCCGAAGTGGGGGGTTAGTGTGGACCAGGCCCAAATGTGATTGATGTTGCAACCCCATGTGCTAGGTTGCAACATCAATCAGATCTTGCCAGTCTGCCCTTCCATCTCTATGTGGATGGACCAAACCTGAATGGTGCTGCATCCCGCTTTAGCCCCTTGAAATGTTGGGAGGTATATGTTCCAGAGGGAAAAAGCTTCAGCAGAGAAAAACTAACACTGGCTAGACTGTGTGGAAGCTTAAAGGGGGGGGGGGGGAGGAGAGAGAAAGCAGGGAAATCCCAGGAACTTTTCACTCAAGATAACCAATTCCCCAGTTGGCATAAACTGGTAAAGCTCAACTGAAGTCAATAGAGCTACACTAATTTACAGCAGCTGAGGATGTGGCCTACAATCTTTGAGGGGAAGAGGCAGGTCTGAATACATCTGGTAGTTATTCTCTGCTTTTTTTTTGCTCAGCCACTCCATCCATGTACATTTTTATTCTAGTTTAACACAGGGTGCTGAAGGAATCTGACAGCAAGATGGTTGGGTCCCTCCAGTAGGCAATTAAGATCATTACCTTCACCAACAACAATCCCCAAAATCTGGAGATCTAATATTCTATAGTTTTGAAGCCAAAATGTAAATTTATAACATCCAGAATTGCTTTCTAAATATTTTATATATTGTACACACCAAAAGTACGTATAGTAGATAGTGGACTTAATATGAAAAACACTGATGAGTGTTATTTACTTTAGACATGCATAAGAGTTCAAAGATTAAATAATCAAAAGTTACAAAGAAAATATTTCTTTAGTCATATATTCAGTGCTTTTCCTGCTTCAAGTGTTCATTATATGATTTCACTACACAGTCTCTTTGAAACTTTGCCGATAGATTTCTTGCAAAGGAGACACTTTAGCTTCCACTGTTCCACAATATACTGCTTTAGTTCTTCACCTTTGTGGCTCGTTTTTCCCCCCCTTAATTTGGAGAAAACTGAAGGCAAAAGTTTTATTTCTACAGCAACTCTTATTTTAGAGTCTCCCTCACATCTTCATGTACAGGAGATATGAAGGAATGAATATAAGTGCTTGGGAAGTTAAAGGAACTTATGGAACAAACTGAATATGTGAAAGAAAGGAGGATAATACAACCTTAAAACACACATAGTGTGGTTCTAGTTTATTATTTATAACTAGGTGAAAGTCCGTGCTGCCATTCAGGTGTAAATCTGTAAAGTGTAAAAAAGCCAAAAATGGCTGAAAACTTAAAAATTGGACATAAAAGTCCATGAATTCCAGTAATGATAATATTCTAGACAAAAAGAGCGCTCAACCATCCTTGAAGCTTTTTCCTTTGCTTTGCACTGACTCAGACATTCTAGGCTTCAGAGTGAGACACAGACAGAATGAAAATCCTGGAATCTTATAATAAGATGTTCATGAAAAAAAAAAAACCCTATGATGTAGAGTTTTAAATTTCCATTTAACACCTTGAATTAAAGCTCTGGTTTTGCAAAGATAGTAGCAAGTCTGAGAAATCTGAAGGAAATTTGGCTGCAGTGGAGCAATTGAGCCCAAGCTATACATCATAATCTATTAACAATACAGTATATTTTCAGAAATGGGACATTTACTAATAAAAATTGAATAAGGCACTTATTTCTCTGCAGTGGCTGGCTGTTGGCTGCATGTACATTTGCATTTTTCTGCAGTAAAAAACCTGGATATCAAAGATAACATCTAAAATCTAGTACCCTTCTATTTTAGCAGGAAACTTTAAAGATGGCTTGTACTCCCACAGCACAAACACCTCCAAGTAATAAGATAAACAAAAAAAGTGTTGCAAGCCTTGAATTTCAGACTTCAACCCATAAAATAAAATGAATACATATATAAATTAAATCTATTCAAAAGAAGACATTTAACCTTAAGTGTCTATCAGGCTGTCAAATTCTGATATTCTCTCCCCTTTGGGTAACACTTCCTGTCTTTTAAAACTGACACATGAATAGTGGCCGCCATGCTTTGCTGACTACCACAAACTATACAGTATCAGTTATCGGGTGACACACTATGGTACTGAACTTTGTCATAGCTGTCAACACTTCAACCTTTTGTTTATGCTCCTTTGACAAAAAAAAAAAAATAGTAATGATAGTATGACACATATCCTTTCTGAAACAGAACCAAGGCCAGCAACTTCACAAGTCTGATGGCAAATGCATAATTAAATGAATATAAGTGCACATTTTAAACTCTGAAATTCTGCTTTCCTTTCTCCCTTTCTTTTCCCTCCTTATGCTCCTACAAGAGTATCTTCCTCTGTCTCTCTTACCTACCTATAAGTTTGATTAGGAATCCTCCTTGTACAAATCATGGGGCGAAATACTGACATTTATGCGCAGGAGTACTTTCACTGGGACTACTCACGTGCATGGAATAAGTGTTACCAGCATCAGGACCTAAAGGCCTAGTCTTGCAGCACCTACACAGGTGAATAATGCCAATGATTATTTTAATGGAACTCATTTACCTGAGTAAGGGCTACAAGGCTGAGTGCTAAATCCACAAGCATGCCAAGGATCTCCCAACTTTTTCTCTAGGGATCATCATTGCTTTCAACCCTCTCCTTTTTACAAGGCAGAGTTCCCTAAATAGTTTTCATTATGGATGCACCGTGCTTTTTACCTAGAAAAGGGAGAGAAGGGGGGTGATGAAGGTACTTCCCCTTTTTCCCCAGCCCACACTAGATCTTCTCAATAACATTTCTTAACTAAACCATCAAGTTTTCAGGAGGAAATAAAACACGCTAATGGGACTGTTGCAGGATGCAGACCAAGAGCACACCCCCTTATGGCCTGCCAAGGCATTGCAAATACTGTGACTCAGTTTCTCTCCTAGTTTTACCAATAATTCTCTTGGCCATCAGCACAATTCCACTGCTGAGGTGACTTAACCCTCTGGCCAAGTCACAAGAACCCCTTCTGGGCTCTCAAAGTCCAAACACACACAAAAATCTTCCACCTTGGTCCCTAGGCACAGCCATTCCTTCCCGAGGGTCTGTCTTCTCGTCACCTTAATTCCAGCCCTTCCTTCCCAGGCTCAGCAACAAGACATCCAGGGCTCTATTCAGTCCAGTCTTCCCACTTACATAATGGGGACATTGGAGGGTGGGAGAGTGCAAATAGAGTGGCCCTACAAGTGGAACTGACACCCACCCTCTATGGGTTCCTGGCCTGGGGAACACTAAATAATTGGACTGATTGTCCCCCATAACCACTACTTGTCTTGCTTCTCTTTCCCAGGGTTTCTTCTATACTACCAGCCTTCCTGACTGCCCTCCTAATTCTTTATAGAGCACAGACTCCTAAGATTCCTCTCCCTGGAATTCCTCTCTACTTGGCTCTCTTCTCCTCTCACTGAGATACTGCCTTTATATCTCCCAGTGCACCCAGCTCCTAGTCATCTGATTGTCACATGACTTTATTCATTTCTTCCACCTGGGGACAGGGCGGGTTCAGGTTTAGATGAACTCTAACCTCCTTACAGATCCACTCACTCTGTGCAGTGGCAATGAGAAAAAGTGATACAATACTTCAATTATAATATTGTGATCAGATTCAAATGATGAAAATCTATTCTTCTTGAGTGCAGATGCCCAAATTTTGGAACATTAAGCCATGCTCATTTGTGGATACATTTACATTATTTCCTCTTTTTCTAACTTAAGGTACAGAAGCATAAAAATTGTTGCCAACATTTTTCTTGATAGGGAGAAATAAAGAACATTAGCAATAAAAACCTATAGTTGACCAGTTAGGTCCTTACTTTTTAAATATGTACTTACCCTTTGCGGCATCTTTTGGGTAACTGGATTTGAAACAAAGTTATATAACTGAAAGAAATCTATAGTATATTTTACCTATCAAAAATTTTGAAGGAATATTTAAAAAACTTTAAGATCTTT